TTTGCTTAATCTTTTTGATTCCAGTAAGGGGCCGTCTTTAGCTGTCCTTGCTGTGACCAAGTCGCAACCTCTCTTGCACGCTCTCTCCAGAAAAATAAGTCTCTTGTTGATAGAGTTTGGGTATGTTGAATTCCCAAAGCTCATGTGGAAATCTGATCCCCAATATGGCAGTGTTGGGAGCTGTTTGGGACATAAGGGGCAGATCCCTCACGAATAGATTTATATTCTCCCTGGGGGCAGGGTAGTGAGTGAGTTCTCGCTCTGTTAGTTCCCACTAGAGATAGTCGTTTAAAAGGACCCTGGCACCTCCCCCTGCCCTTGCCTCCTCTCGCCATGTGATCTTGCACCCCCTGGCTGCCTGCTGCTTCCCGCAATGAGTAGAAGCAGCCTGAGGCCTGCAGCAGATGCAGCTGTCCAAGAATTGTGAGCCAAATAAACCTCTCTATTCTTTGTAAGTTACCCAGTCTCAGGTATTCCATTATAAGCAACTGAAACAGACTAATACACCTGTCTTTTAGCAGACTAAGCAACAGTCACCAGTTACAGAAGGCAGTTATGGATGCTAGTGTCTGATCTGATAGACTTCCAATCAATTCTTTTGTTCTTGGCCTCACTTCGACCCCTTGTTTTCAAAGGCACCTGCTCCCTCCAATTCCTGAGTCTATTCTGGGTTGTGAAGCATATCGGCCTGCCTCTCCGGTAGACAGTTATTTTAGTATAGAAAGCAAAAATCTGAATAAGTCATCCCTCAGCTGGCTGGTTTTCATCTCACACAATTTTGTTAACATTTCTATTGGCTGGTTTCTCCTCTCTGATCTCTGACCTTGTGGATTTATACCTTTTTATGTTTTATTTCTTTTGTCATTTTAGTGGAGTTTTGGAAGAAGGATGAGGAGAAAAAGATGTTTGTTTAATCCACTATCTTTTTTTTTTTTTTTTCCTTTTTTGTCTTTTTTTACTGACTGGTAACGGGATCGCAACCCCTCGTTGTTGCGCCCGCACCGTGCTCAGCCAGTGAGCGGGAACCGGTCTCCACATGGGATCCGAACCCTTCGCAGGAGCGACGCCACGCTCCCAAGCGGTGCACTCTCTAGTGCGCCACCAGGCCGGCCCGTAATCCACTATCTTTAACCAGAGACTTGATCCTTCTCTACTGCTAATGTGCATGATAGATAATATATATATATATATTATATATATATATATACACACATATATAAATATATAATATATATAAACGAGTAAATAGGAGATGAGAAAATAGAGCTATATTACCATCGTATTACACACACACACACACACACACACACACACACACATGCATGCACACAAACTGCTCTAGATGAGGTCTCGGATGTTTTTCAATTCGCCTATTTCAAAAGTCACTTTTCCAGCCTAATTTCACTCAGGTTCTTAGCCTACTCCTTGGTTTTTCATCCCTTTACCCTTGACTTTCATGACACCATTCTTCCTTGTTCCTTGCAGTCCCTTCTGAATTTCTCTTCTCTGTCCATTCCTCTTGCATTTGTGACCCCAACATTTTATTCTCAATCTCTTGTTTTCTTTTTCCCTATTCTTTCTAACGTCTCCTTAAGCATTTGCACTCATCCATTCCTTTAATTAGCATCTCTAAACCATGATAAACAAGGTTTTGTTTTTAACCGGGGATTTCTCCTAATATTTTCTGTGTATGCCCCATCGTACTCTAAGCTGTTATTTCCCAAGCGAAATTCAGTACATCCCCAGAACTCTTTTTTCTCTTCCTACTTAATTGCTGCCTCTCTTCCTTTAATATTGCTTAGTTAAGTCAGGGGTTAGCAACATTTTTCTGTAAAGGTTAGATAGTAAATATTTTAGGTTTTGTGGGCCATTCGTTTTCTGTCACAGTTACTCAATGGTGCTGTTGTAGTGAAAAGCAGGCGTAGCCAGTATGTAAACAAATGGGTGTGATTGTGTTACAATAAAAATTTGCTTACAAAAACAGACCAGTAGCCTGGATTTGGGCCTCTGGCCATAGATTGCTGACCCCTGATCTAAGTTAATGGCCGTCCATTAAACTCTTAACTGAGCTTCACCTCCCACATCTATGTGGTCAGTATGACTCTCTTTCCAGACCTGCCCTGTTTCCACATGCCCACACACGTCCTCTGTCAGATCCTCATCTTTTCACCTGTCATTTATGGTAGCTATCCATCCTATCTCCACTTTCTATCTTGTAGTTCTCTAACTCATGTTCCACACTACTTTGAAGCCAGTCTTATGTGAGCAGAACTTACCTTACTACTGCTTCTTTAAAATACTCAGTGCTTTGCAAATATCTGCACTGCAGCACTTAACTGATTCTAGCTGCATAAGAGCTACTTGCAGTGTCTGTTCTGCGTCCCCTCCCAGAGGTTCTGATGATATAGGTCAGAGTTGAGGACTAGGAATCTGCATTTTAAACAAACATCCAAAATGAGTCTGTGACATGTGATCTTCAGACATTTGAGAAACACTAGCCCATGGTAAAGAGCAAACAACATTGCATGGAACACATCCCTGGCCTTCCAATCTCTCCACACACCCCAACCCCTCCCCAGCATGCTAAGGGTCAGCCCTTCACCTGAACTGGCTGTGATAGTCATTCTGCCAGTAGTGACATTATCCCCTTGTCTGCTTGGTAAGCTTCCTTTAAGGCTCAGCTCAAGTATCAACTTCTCTAAGTTTTCCTAAACTCCCTGATCCTTATCATGTACATATCTATATCTGAGTACCTGTAACATATTAACTGCTTTTATTTATTTGTGTATCTCCCCTATTAAATTGTGCGCTTCTTGGGGGCAAGGTCTATGTCTTTTGCATTTTTGCATAACTATACTTTAGTGTAAACTAAAATTAAATAGTACATACACTAAAAATTTGTTGATTGGATGTAAGAATTAGGTTGGGGATATTAATATCTATATTTTATAGATAATTAAACTGAGGCTCTGAGATTTTAGCTGACTTATTTAGGGTCAACCAGATTGCAGAAACAGTCAAGGATATCGTATTTTTTTTTGATTTATGGTCTTTTTTCTATTGTTATGCTTCCTTCTCAACATGATAGGGTTATTCCCTATCCTCAAGAGAGCTTTGAATATTGAAAGTGTCCAATGGGGACTTTCCAATTTGGGTACATGTATTCAGTCTGTTGATTGTTTCCTATGTGTTATTTCTGAGGCTGACTAATGACTGACAGGCAGTTACTCCAAAGTGATTGCTCTTACAAGCTTGGCTTCTACAATTTTTGGATTTCTGGACTTCTACATCTTAGGGCTGCTTCATCTCTTGGTTTGTTTCCAAAAATCTAAATTGCATTTATTCTGTCTACTTTTACATAATGAATTGTGTGGGCATTATAATTAATTAACAACTAACTGTTCAAGAGAAGATAGGCTCTCTGGGGTGATTGCTTAGAGAATACTCCCTTATGCTTTTTCTGTACTTCTCACATAGCTCCGGGGATTCAGAACACCTGTATCTTGAAGTGCCCAGCTGAGATTAAACAGCTGAAATCCAGCAAAGGTAGGGGATATATGGCAGAAACCTCTGGAACGCTAGGCTGGGTTTGACATAATTATATGGGGAAAGAATAAACGGTAATTCTGGTTTATTTGGGGCCAGTGAAGAAATGGATTATGTGCTGAGGGACACAGACAAATTTCTAAGTAATCAGTATGCAGTTATTTAGTGCTCATTTTATTTTATCTTGTATTAAAGTTTATCATCTCTGTCTCCTATTGAGTAGGGACCCTTCATTTTATTGATTTCATCCCACCTTATACATAGTAAATACTCAAAAGAAGCTTGTGAATTGAAATAATTCACAAATTTCATTTCAAGCTTTCACCTCTGACTATGGTACAATAATGATTAAACAGTGAGTTGCTTCAAAAGTAGGCAATCAGAGCCTGCCTGGTTGCCTGGACATAAGAGGCCATTGGAAACTACTAACTAGATAAATGCCCTTGGAAAGGTGAATGTCTGTGTGTTTATGTGGCTCCCCACAACCATGAAACATAACAACAACACAGTCCAGAGACCAGAAATGTGGCATGTTAATTTAACAACTTCCATATTTCCTTGGTAATTGTATGTTTAACATAAATAATGTCAATTTGTAACATTTGTATTTCCTTTCAACAATTAATTAGTATTTAATGAATGAGTACCTGTACAGTGAAAAACAAGCTGGTCTTTTTTTTTTTTTTTAAGACAATTTAAGTTTTTATTGGTTTTGTTTACATAATAAAGAATCAGCAACTACAGTCATGCCACTTTAAGTGACCACAGAAAAACAAAATATATAATTACTTTACATGGTTATTTTACAATTCTATAAAGTTAGCTACAGCATCCCCATGTTTTGCTATAAACTATATTCCTTTGGCCATATGTAAGCTGTCAATAATAAAAGGTGTTTGAACATACACCCATATTAGCAGTAGGTGATAAGAGGTTAAAAATTGCTTATAAATCTTTTGAGCTGAACATCTGTATTAACAGTATTTTTGTCTGCTGTTATATTAAACAGTTCTTAATACTAGGAAATGTGTTTCAAAGTTAAACAGTAGCATTTGCTTATAAATCTTTTGAGCTGAACATCTGTATTAACAGTATTTTTATCTGCTGTTATATTAAACAGTTCTTAATACTAGGAAATGTGTTTCAAAGTTAAACAGTAGCGCCTTTTCCTATCTTGGTTTAATTATGCAATGAAATCATGTTTGTTCCTTACCAACCTTTATCAGTATGTTAAAATTTTGAATCAAACATTTTTTAAAAAGCTGCTGAGTGAAATTTCATTATAAATAGTACAGGTACACTTTCTGTGTGCAGTATCAATTTGGCAAGATGATTACAGACCATGATTCTGACGTGGGAAGAAAAGGGTATTTAGATGTAAATGATGTGGCTATTAAGATATAAAAAATCAGTACATGGTAACAAAAATGATCAAAACAGGAATAAAAAATATATTAACAAACTGTGAAAACATTAGTGACCCAAAGTTAATTTCAAATTGAAAATCTGAAATGTCTTTTATGATGACAGGCATCTGAAAAAGTGATTGGGAAGAAATTAATAAACAGGTTTGTGGGTGATTTGTAAATAGAATCCATGTGACATGTGAATTAATTATTGTCCTGTCTTTTCCCCCACATTGGGTTTTGGTTTACTGTGTTACCACATTAGATTGCTAACTTCTTTCCAACATATGGCCCAGCTTACTAAAAGAAAAAAAAGTAGACATTCTGTTATATTTTAAGATGAAGTTAAAGCTCTTGGGCCCAATTTGTTCCTTAAGTCACTCTGAGAACATTTCACTGTGTTTTGCTGGAACAGAATCAGGGCCGTTTGCATTGATGTGACGGAGCAATGACGAACATCAGGCTAAGAATGGGAATCTGTCCCCAGGGGCTTCCTCCTACCCCACCTCATTTCCTCTCTCTCCCATTTTCTCTTGTACATACTTTCACACACATCTCATCCTGAGAGAACCTAAGGCACTTTGCTGGGGAGATTAAAAAATCGGGCAAGCATGCACAAAGTTAAAAGATTCTTACAGTCTCAAAAAGCAGTTTGGCCTCTAAGTGATAGAAAAGCACCATGTCAAGAACACTTTTCTACTGGTTATTTACAAAAATAATATAAAAATTAGTAATAAGCTTTACAGGTAGCTGTTAAATGGCCTAATTTGTGTAATTTTAAAAAATAGTATTTTAACTATAATATTATACATACGTGAGAGACCATTTTAACTACAGCATGGGTGAGAGAGGATGCTGCCTGCTCCTTTGCCATGTGGACACTGCGCCAGGCAATTCACATTCTGTCCATTACAGGGTCACTGGCATCTCTCCATTGTAAAGCAATGACTCTGGGGCCTGCCCTTAGTTTAATCATCTACAAGTAGTGTAGGTAGCTAAGTATTTACAGGTGACAAAACTAAACAAACAGAGTTTACACTACCATAGTGAAAGAAGAAGATGACTTTAATAATCCTGGAAGAATTGTAGGTAGTATTTTCTTTGCACAGTATGTGAATGGAAAATTTTGAAGAAGTCTTTTGGGACAGCAATTCAAACCTCCATCTTTCCCTTTCTGACAGTTGATCTTATCTGAATGTAAAGAGTATAATGATTTTCAAAAACTTAGCCTTGGTTTCTCTTTCTGACATTCTCTCTTGATCATTTAAACAATTTTAATATCCAAAAAAACACCAGCTAAACTGCATTCAACATTTTGCATCCAATTACAGTCCGACCAATGGTGTGACACTGTTAATAAAAAAGTTGTTTTAAAGAATTTTTGAAATTTCAAATAGAGTGATTTAAATTTCATTTAAAAATTCTGTTTTATAGTTTCCCTTTGTATCAGATTCACACCGATGTGAATAATTCCTAGTAAGTAGACCTCTTTAATAGGAATTCTGAGTGAAATCATTTTAAAACCTAAGTGGTGTATGAATATGCTGGAAGTTATTAAGAGATACATTGAAGTGCTGAGAAAAATTAAGTGCTTTCACAATGAGGCTTTCTTAATTCCCACTGCTTTTCTTCTCAGGCTGTAAACAGCCCCCAAAATGTCATGTGTAACTAAGGGTGTTAAACTAATCATTCTTACATTTTTACATTGTTTTGTGCAAACATATAGCTTTTTCATTTTGTTTAGTTTTTGGCAAATGTTTCATGTTGTTTTAATGATTTCTGTACAAAATAAAGAAAATGAAATTAAGTGAATATTCCTTCTTTCAGGATGAGCTGTATTTATTACTGGAACGGAAGTTGTCATATCCGTGATCATTAGCTTTGAACTTCAAACATGACTGCTTTTCCTCCAAGGACTGTTTTTCTTCAAATGACTGGCACCAGCAGCATAAGCATGACTGTCCAAAACAAAGTAACTCATTATAAGTTTACATCAGTCACATTGTCACACTCCTCTTACTCTCTATGGTTCTGACTTTGTTTGCATAATGGGGAGTTCTTGGGCCCTTTCTTCCCATACTATCTTATTTTTTGCCTTAAAAAGATATAATCACATTAGTAGTATGTGATAATTTTTTTTTTTTTTTTTGGTGGCTGGTCAGTTTGGGGATCTGAACCTATGACCTTGGTATTACAAGGCTGCGCTCCAACCAACTGAGCTAACTGGCCAACCCTAGTATGTGATATTTTTTAAAAAAAATTTTAAAAATACAGAGAAGAAAACTATATAATTAAAATCCCTCACCAAGAGAAAGCCATTCAATTCTATTTACTCTTGACTATTTGATAAATACTCTTAACATTTGATAAATGTATAACTCAATCCTTCTTTCTATGCAAATAGAAATATTACCACATACATGTGCTTATGTTTGTGTGTGTATAATTTATTTTAATGAGATTGTACTATACATATACTTCATAACCTGTGTTTTCTAATTGTCAATGTCATAAACATCTTTTCATGTCAGTGAATTTACTATTACTTTGCTATTTTTCAGCCACATGTTATTCTCATCTGCCTTTTCAATACTGTTACACAGTAATGTTATAAAGTACAGTATACAGATGTCTGTTTTATTCATCCAATTTTTTTCTTGGATTTTTTTTAAAATCTAAAACTTTGTTAACTCAGTTTGTTTTGAGAAACTATATGTATAATAAAATGAGAGATTCACTGTTTTCAGTTCTGTAAAATGGAAGAGTTGATCTAGATGAAAGTTCTCTTCCAGCTCTAAAATCTGATTTTTGAATGGGTTTTCTAGACTGCCTTCATGTTTATAAGGAAGCTAAGTTCTTGGCTTTCCAGTAATGAAAAACAAAGGGCAAGTGAATCATTCCCATATAAGGAAAGGGAATACCTTATTTTAGGTTAGATTGTTGAAGGAGTGAATGAATGGATGGGAAGATGTCACAATGCAAGCAGTCAAATAAGGGATAATTAGACATATTCCGTATTGAGCAGCACACCTCTGTTATACAAAGAAGGTAGAAAAGAGAAGGTGCAACTTGAATTAAATCTCTTTGTTTGACTTGATATTCACATAGTCTATGTGAAAAAATGATTTGCTTATAATACAAATTGTGGCTGCATAGTCCAAAATCTACCCCAAACAGGGGAACAGTACATTTAATTCATGTTTGGCTCTTATGTTACTATGTGATATCTGTCAGACATCAGCACATGTAATTGTTATTAATTTTTTGAGCATCCCATGAGTGTAATTGATTGGCTGAGGCAGTAGGGAGTGGCTGACTAGGATTTATAGGCAAAAACCATGTACAGTGATTTATAAGCAAAGCGATATTTTAGAAAATCATCCATGATGTAATGTAAGGGAAAACTATAAAAAAAAAATTTACTAATATTTACTAAAATTTCTATCTCTGGATAGAAATAGTAATGGTTTTGAAGGGTTATATTTTGTGGCCTATTACAAAGAGCTTTTTAATTTGGAATACTCTCTTACCTTAAAGCAGTTTTTGAATCTTTTGCTAACCAAATACAGAGCGATTGGATTAATGCAGGAGTTCAGGGAGGCCATGTTGATGCCAATGTAGTCCAATACCAACAAAAAGCTGCAAAAAAATAACCCAACATTTGTCTGTGAATAATATGCTTCTCTGAGCATGCGTTCATTTCAGACTTTTGTGTTTTTGTGAAGGAAAAAAACTACTCACATCCAATGGTTCTGAACTGATCATTGGTCTTTGCTAATAACGATCTCTGTCTCCTTCTATCTCTCTCTCTCATTCTCTGTCTCTGTCATCTCTACTGCCCTCCTCTGATCCCCTCCGCCTCCCACGCCCATCTCTCTCTTTTAAATAAAATCTCATTTGGAAGTGCTGAGGCTGGCTGCAAAGAAAGGATATAGCAAGTGCAAAGGCGAATCAGACCTGATCATTTCAATCTTGTCACTTACTGATAATTTTGACAACTCTGCCTCCGAGCTCCCAGCATTCTCCTAGGTCTCCCTACTCCTCCCTTTAAAACTGGAGTGGAGGTAAAAATGGGAAGTCTTAATTGCTCCCTAAGGAGCAATTAGAAAGATGGTGCTCTCTCTGCCTGCGATGGGAATCGATGGAAACACTTCTGAATGGCATTTATTTACAAAATGATTTCTATTTGACTTTTCTTACCTCAAAAGCTCACATCTGTTGGGATCATTCTGATCATAAAGAGTGAGCTTCAGAATTCTGCTGAGGTGAAGAGGGAGCCAACAAAGGGCAAAGACCAGGACCAGGCAAAATACTGTTTTGGCCACTTCCCGTCTCTGAAATAAAACCATAGTCAGACCTTTAAAAGATGGCTCATTGTAGTCAGAGCATTCTCTCGTTCCAAACAGAATATGTAATATTGTTTATGAAAAGCCAATGCCATTTGTAACAGTTTAGGACACTTAGCTTGAAATTAAACAGTTAATGTGAATTAGAACGAAAATGACTGGAGATTCATCTTTAAAAAGTAATGGCTATCTCTAAATCCATTTAGATTATATAGAATATCTTTACGTAGATAACACAAAAATATTCTTTATATTTTCAAAAATACCAGAAGCAAGAAAAAGAAATTATGCCCTGGTTTATAATAATTTTAGTGTATATCATCATGATAATTTTCATATTCATAATCTAATTATGACCATGAGTCAGCAAATATTTGTATTTTCTTACCTGCTTTAAGTGATCGTTTAAAGCAATTTGCATGCCGCTCTTTTTTCTCAACATTTCACAGGTCATCAGGGTATAAAAAAATGCAGTAATGGCTAGTGGTAAGCAGAAATAGAAACTAAATAGCCACCAATCTTTAGCTGTCTTGTAGAACTATGTGGAAGAGAGTATACTTATGATTAATACTTCTCTGTAAGAAAATCTTACATGCCAAATGTTAAACTTAAAAGAAACATATTCACCAGGAAACAATTATCTTCTAAAGTAGCTTCATTTTATAAATACTATATAGAATCTTTCAGGCTACATTTACTGGGCAAATAATTAAATACCTATACTAAATGAAACAAACTTGCTCTAAAAATCATTTCAATTTTCTAAGGCAGTATGCTATAATTATGCATAAAAATTAAAGCAGTTGGGCAAATTTTTAAATATTTGGTGATTCAATGCTTGTCTTCACATAAGTTATCCTTAGGGTATTCACTGTGTGAAATACCACATCTGAATATATAACGATATCCTGGTGTTTAAGTGAAGTTTTCACTTTTTAGCAAAGTTTTTAAGTGGGGAAACAGATATAGAAAGATCTATGTTAGCCATTTAGCTCAGTAATGTGTAAATCTAACCTCTTAAATAAAAAATCAAAGCCACTTATGACTTATGCTTTTTCTTGTACTCTTTTTCTGCTCTGTCATCTTATTTTAATTCTTGCTCTGGATATAGCTATGTTGAAGAAGAATTTATGTAACTTATGCAGCACTCTTTTTTCCCAATAAACTTATTCTCAATCTCACATTAATGACCTTGTTTTTACTAATAAGAAACAGGGAAACAATAAACTTATTCTCAATCTCACATTAATGACCTTGTTTATTCTTCAACAAGTTTTATAAAATTTTCTTATATATAAGATAGAAAATAATCCTGGATGATAGTTAGACCAGCTCTCTTTTCATTAACTTCTTTTAACCTGTTCTCTTGGGAAGGGCCCTTTACTTAGCATCTATCTGCTGGAGACCAGCATCACCATTCTTTTCCTATTTCCTGATCAAATGTTCTTTAATAAATGGCCAAGATGAAAAGTTCTTTGCAATGGCAGCTTTCCCTGTCAAAGAGAGAGAGAGCGCGCCAGCTTGCCATTTAGGGTGACTTCTATTTGAACCATCCACTCCTTTGATGGCTGTTGTGTTGTCTTAGGCAGAACATGTAGTTGTCAGTCCTTAATGGGCTTTGGGTAGAAAAGCTATAAATTCACATCATTTCTCTATTGTGAACCTGGATTATCTATGTCCCTGAGATCCATGGGTTCTTGGAGAAGTAGTGACCCAGCTTCTTGCAGCTTGTGTCATTAGTCACTGTTAACCCCGTGATCCTGGAATCTACACTCTTAATTTATGCCAAGAACAGTCATAAATCAATAGCCTCTCAGGAGGGGGAAGCAGGAGGAAAATAGCTGAATATTTATAAGGCAAGAGCAGAAAGGAAAAAATAAAATATACCTGCATGAAGGCTGTTTCCTGAGTGGGATGAAGCAGGCAGATTCGCAGATAACTTCCTTTGTAGTCAATAGTAATCATATCAAAACCTATGGCTTCAGGGACAGCCAGAACCACAGAGACCACCCAAATTAAAACAATTTCTACTGCTGTCCATTTTGGAACCCCAATTCCTTTAATTCGACTCCAAGAAGCAACAGCTCGGTATCTGAAGATGAAAATAGAATGGTTTTTCAAGCTGGCAGAGCTGGTTTTATTGAATTACAGAGTTTATTTTCTAAGTAACATAGCAATCGGTAGTATAGTGTTCAGGATACACCTGGCTTAAATACAAGCTCTTACCTGTCAATACTTAGAGCACACAGACTCAGCACAGTGATTCCCACCGAGGCCTTCTGTATGAAAGGCACCAGCTTACACATCTCGGCTCCAAATGGCCAGTCCTCTGTGAGCAACTGCATTGAGGAGACAAGAAGCTCTGTTAGTGAGGGTTTCACAAGATGCCCTCTGAACCACACCACTTATTGGAGAGCAAGTAACATGCAGAGTAAGATAACAAAATCCTGCTCTTATTCTTTTTCTCATGGACTACTTCTTTGAAAAGCACCAGTGTTCAATATACGGAACAGGAGAGTGTGTTGGGAATAATTAAAATGCAGCCAGTTTATGAGAATTCATCATGTATATACGGTACTTTAGAAGACACAGGATCTCCTCTGCAGGGCCAACTCAGAAAATTAAACCTGTGGACTGTCATAGATTGTCAAATGCTTAGGTCATGGCCAAATCAAAATATAGGTTAACTAAAAATAGATGATAAAAAAGAAAAACAAAACAAAACAAAAAATAGATGATAAATATTTCTTAGTGAAGACGACTTGTCTACCCCTATGGATTAGCACTCTATGGAGAACAGTGTGTGTATTCATACACTTGCTCTTCACTGTAGTCAATTTACTTCACTGATTAGTAACTCAGCCTGAGTACCAACACTGCTCTGTCAACCCATCAGGCACATTCCTGCTTTAGGGCTTTTGCTCTAGGTCTGTCCTTGTACTAGAAGCTGCTTCCCCACAGTCCACTTGGCTAACTCCCTTACCTTCTTCAGGTTGTCCTCAGACCTCATCTTTTCAACATGACCTACCCTGACCACACTATTAAATATAGTAACCAGTCAGGCCTCCCCATCTCCCTTACCCCACTCTACTTTTCTTTTTATCCATAGCACTTATCAGCTCTTGTTGCGTATATTATAACATTTACTTGTTTGTTTAGTTTTTGCTGTTTGGCTCTCTAGAGTCTAGAGTATAAGACAGAATATGAGTTTGCCAACTGCCTAGAACAGTGCCTGAGACATAGCAGATGCTTAATAAATATCCGAGCTTCTAAAATATATAGGCACTGGCTATCCAATGAACAAATACATAGCTCTTGCTATAATGTAGATATATTTCTCTTTATCTGATTGCAAACAATGAAACCATCTATTATGGAATGTGGTTATTTTCTTTCTTAGGACAACTGGATATGTCCCACACTGGTAAATGAATCACTTTAGGTGAGCATCTGGACTGAATGTTTGTGAGGTTTTGCAAATAAAGAAAAGTATTTCAAACCTATGGGTTTTTAAAGAATGTTTTAAAAAGTAGTCTTGTAAAAGCAAAAACTATTTTGAAACACAATTGAGACTTTCTGTCTTTTTACTAGTAGTGAAGAGTCTACTGAGTTTGTCAAGCTGGGTTGATTGTTCTATAACTAGAATGGCACCAAAGGCTAAACTGTGTGTCTCATTATGAATATGACTTGGAGATTCAACACAGGACCAATTTTAACTCTCTACTAGATATGAAAAATTATACAGATACGGGGGAGAAGTGTTGGCAGACTTACCACATCTATGCTTAATGTATAGTCCTGAAAGCCTGCAAGGGTAGGCTACACACAAGGTGGGTAACACAGAGGAGTGGAGGGGCCAGGTATAAGAAAGTCATTAGTGTCAGGAAGATAGCAGGGAGTGGTGGGGTCTCTGGTACACTCTGTCAGAAAGGAGCAGCTGCTAATAAATACTACACAATTTTTTCCAAAGAACCCCAAATACAAAACTCTTGATTTTTCAAAAGAAGCCAGAAATCAGAATTTTTATATGAAATCTCACAATTTATAAAAGTTGTCAACTAATTCATATTTTTAAAAAATATTGTCAGGTAACATTGTATTAAAAAAATAAGTCTGTGGGCCAGACTAGCCTCCATCTTGTGACTTCTGGATTAATCAATCGACTCATAACTCTGCTTGTTCATTCATTCATTCAACAAACACTCATTGAGTATCTACTTTGTGTCAGACTGAGTACAGAGTGCATATCAAGGAATAAGACAAACTCCCTGCTCATGGAGCTTACAGTCTAGTGAAGGAAGCAGACAGAATACACACAAATACTTAATATGGTGCCACACAGAGGATGTCATCATATAAAGAAAGTGACAGTAGGACTCAAGGTGCTTTCTTGATAGGCGTCTCAGCAAAGTCCCTCTGAAGAGATAACATTTGAGTAGGAACTGGACTGAAATAAGAGAGTAAGCCATGCTAAATCAAATATTGATTTTTTAAACCCAAAGCTATGTGTCAAATAATGGTAGTAAGGAACATTCTAGGTGGAGGAAAGAGCAAGTGCGAAGGCCCTGAGATCAATGCGAATCTGGTGAACTGGAGGGACAGCAGGAAGGCTATTAAGGCTGGAGCAGAGTGACCCAGGCCAAAAGTATAGGCGACATTGTAGAGAGTGGAGTTTGACTACTTTTTTCCAGGAAATCCATTGCAAAGTTTTGAGCAGGGAAATGGTCTGAGCTTATTTATGTTTTTAAAAAGATCACTCTGGCTGCTCAGTGTAGAACAGAAGGCAGGGTCAAGAAAGGAAGCATTGATGAGAACTAGTGTGCGGGCTGGATCCTGTGGTGCCCTGGGGCTGAGAAGAATGGGTTATAGACTGTATTTATTTTGAAAGTAAGGCTAGCGGAACTTGCGACGGGTTGGACATAACATGAGAGGAGTCAGAACACTCACAGAGGTTTATCTTATGAATGGTGAAGCCTTTTACTGTGTTGGAGGAGACTCAGGACCACAGGGTCTGAACCACCTTTGAATTCAAGTTGCCTTAAAAAACTGCCAATTACCATTGGAAACATAAGAATAAAAAAGTTCCAATCAGTTAAAAGGATTCTTCTAGACTCAGCTTGGTATAAATGATTGAGACAATATTCTGTCTTATCATTCTCCTTGCCCTTAGATGGATCAAGAAAACAAAACGAAAGTAGCACTTATATGCCACTTATGATGGGTTAGGCACTATTCTAAGTACTTTACACATACCACACCACTGAATCCCCAAAGCAATCCCATGAAGTAGTGCTACTGTTATCCCCATTTTACAGATAAGAAAGCAGAGGCACTTAGAAGTTTACTAAGTTACTATGTTTGTTTTAAATATGTCCACAAATTTTTTGTTACCTCTTCGTTCAGAAGGTGAAGCCTAATTTCTCTCCGCTTGAATGTGGGCTGGACTTAGTGACTTGCTCTTAACAAACAGAAGACACTGGGGACTAGTTCATACAAGGCATGATGGCTTCCTCCTCGCTGTCTCTTGGATCACTCGTCCTGAGGGAGGTCAACTGCCGTGTCATGAGGACACTCAAGCACTTCTATGGAGAGGCCAATATGGCAAAGATCTGAGGCATCCTGAAAACAACTCGTACTGATTTGCCAGGGGTGTGAATAAGAGGATCCTCCAGCCCTAGCCAAACCTTTAGCTGACTGCTGCCCCAGCCAATATCTTTTTCTTTTTCTTTCTTTAACCGGCTGGCTGGTAAGGGGATCCAAACCCTTGACCTTGGTATTATCAACAGCACGCTCTAACCAACGGAGCTAACCAGTCAGCCCACCAGCCGATATCTCATGAGTGCACCCCCATGAGAGACCCTGAGCCAGAACCACCCAGCTAAGCCACTCCTAAATTCCTGACTCACAGACACAGTGTGAGATAATAAATGTTTACTGTTTTAAGCTACTAAGTTGTAGGGGTAATTTGTTACTCTTCATTAGATAACAAATATTGTCCTTGGTCACTTACTTAAGTAAATAATTGATCCACATCTGAACCCAGATGGTCTGACTCCAGAGTTTATGCTTATCACCATTATGAAACCTACCTGATAGTGTTTTGAAGAAGCTGATCTTACAAAGAAGAATGCTTAGGGTTAAGTCAAATACTAATTTTTTTAAACCCATAGCTATGCGTCAAATAGTGGTAAGATTTCTACAGAGTACCCTTGAACAACAGGGGTTTGAACTGCACACTACTTATGTGTGGGATTTTTTCAGTGAATATATATGTATGTCCAGAGTCATAAATTTATTTTTCTTATGAGTTTCTTGATAACATTTCCTTTTCTCTAGCTTACTTCGTCATTGTCAAATAGTGGTAAGATTTCTACAGAGTACCCTTGAACAACAGGGGTTTGAACTGCACACTACTTATGTGTGGGATTTTTTCAATGAATATATATGTATGTCCAGAGTCGTAAATTTATTTTTCTTATGAGTTTCTTGATAACATTTCCTTTTCTCTAGCTTACTTCGTCATAAGAATACAGTAATGATACATGTAACACACAAAATGTGTTAATTGACTGTTTACGTTATTGGTAAGGTTTCCAGTTAACAGCAGGTTATTAGTACTTACATTTTTGGCGAGTTAAAAGTTATACATGGATTTTTAACTGTGTGGGTGTCAGTACCCCCAACCCTTTGTTCAAGGGTCAATTGTACATACAGAGTAAAATTTTCTTCTCATCGCCTAGCGTGATGGTTAACTTCATGTGTCAACTTGACTAGCCATGGGGTGCCTAGATTAAATATTATTTCTGGGTGTGTCTGTGGAAGGGTTTCTAGATGAGATTAGCATTTGAATCTGTGGATTCAGTGAAGTAGATTGCCCTCGCCAATGTGCGTGACCAGCATCCAATCTGTTGAGGGCCTGAATAGAACTAAAAGTGAGGCAAGAATTCACTTCTTTTGCTTCCTGCCTGCTTGCTTGAGCTGGGACATCTCATCTTCTCTGGCCCTGGGACTGGGGTTTATACCATTGGCTTTCTTGGTTCCCAGGCCTTTGGATTTGGACTGAATTATACCAGTGGCTTTCCTGGGTTTCCAGTTTGCAGATGGAGATTCATGGAACTTCTCAGCCTCCATATTCTCATGAACCAATTCCTTATTATCAATCTGTCTATCTATCTACCCTACTGGTTCTGTTCTGTTGAAAACCCTGACTAATATACCTATCTATTTTATTCATATAATGTCCACACATTTTGACATTTTCAAATATTTTATTTTGTTTCAAATTATTTCCAAATATGTTAATATCGGTTTCACATAGGTACAGCTATGAGAAGAATCA